TAGATTTCATCATGAGCCAAAAAAACATACAAATTTCCTCCATTTTGTCTACTTCTGTTAACAACTAACGGAAATTTAACGGAGATCTAACGGCCGGGTACTAACGTTGCTAACAGAATGAAAGTTTGAGTACTGATTTTACAAATGTTAAAAAACGGGTACTGATTCCGAAATGAACTTTAGTTTGAGTATCAAAATTGCAATTTACCCTATTTTTTATAATTGCTTTGCTTACGATTATATTTAGAGAATTGATTTACAAATGAGAGTTCTATTCATAAATAAATCTTGTGTTTGAACGTGACAATTTTATTTATTTTAAATATGTTATGAGATACATACAATATAAATCTCTTTTTAAAAGCAACAAAATTGCTTTAAAGATTACATTTCAAATTTTGTTCTAAAGATTGTAATACAATTGGTCGTAAAATTAGACTACGAGAATAAAAGAGATAAATACAACATCCACTAATCATGGTAACAATTTTTTATTTTTTTAATTAAGCCATAATATTCAATTTTCTATTCAACTACGATTCACACAAACTAAATCAGATATTCGCCTTGCCAACGAAGAATTTTGAATTCTTTACAATTGCCCTACGTATTATAATTTATTTGCTAGAAGCCTTTATTTTATTTTTTTTTAAAAAAAATAAATACAGTCCGTGGATCGCATGAGTTACGTACTAGTATAATTTAATATCACTTTATGAGGAAGAACTGTTGGGTGCGTGAGAGTTGAGCGGGTAAACGAAATTAACAGAGGCTAGGAATAGGATGAATCACAGTAAAATTCTAAGGTGTTGTTAATGATGTAATGGTATAGTTAATGGAGTCCTGCGGCCATCCGATCGGCACTCATTCAGACTGGATTATGCAGCCCATCAAGATTTTTTATTTATTTCTTTTATAATAATTATTTATTTTTATTTAAAAATCATTGCCATGTTGGAAGTGATAACTCCAATTAATGAAGCCACATCATATGCCACATCATATTGTGGCATTGCTTATAGCATCTCCAATGCTCAACTTTAATGAAGAACAGCATCTCGAACAAAATGACAATCCACCTCAATGTGCTTAGTCCGCTCGTGAAAAAATGGATTTGCCGCAATATGCAGTGCAGACTGACTGTCACAGTGTAACCGCATAGGCTGAAAGTGAGCAACACCAAGAGTAGATAATAGTCCCCGCAACCACTTCAACTCGCACAATGTAGTAGCCATCGCCCGATATTCAGCCTCAGCAGAAGACCGTGCGACAGTAGGTTGTTTCTTGGTTCGCCAAGAAACAGGAGACTGACCCAGCTGAATAAACCAACCAGAAAGAGAGCGCCGAGTGAGAGGGCAAGACGCCCAATCCGAATCACACCATGCATAGAGTTGAAGATCGCAGTCAGTACGAAGATGAATCCCCTGACCAGGAGAGCTTTTCAAATATCGAACCACACGCAGAGCAGAGTCCCAGTAAGCCTAACGCGGTTGATGCATAAATTGAGAGAGCATATTCACCGAATAAGACAGCTCAGGTCGAGTCACTGCCAGATAGATAAGACGTCCGACTAAACAACGATATCGCTCGGGATCAGACAACCGATCACCCTTAGCAAGAGGTAGCTGATGATTCTGCTCTAATGGAAAATCGGCTGGCTTGCTCCCAAGTAATCCGGCCTCAGCTATGATGTCAAGAGCATACTTCCGCTGACAGAGAAAGAATCCAGAAGAATTCCGGGCAACCTCGATACCCAGAAAATACTTAAGCAATCCAACATCCTTCATGTGAAAACAACGGCTCAAGTAACTCTTGAAGGCCGCAATGGATGTGGTGTCATTCCCGGAAACAATCAAGTCATCAACATATATCAGAACCTGCAGATGGACAGAACCACGATGCAGTGTAAAAAAAGAGTAATCATGATAGGATTGACAAAAACCATACTGCTTCAAAGTCGTAGTCAACTTGGCAAACCAGCAGCGGGGGACCTGTTTCAAGCCATAGAGGGAACGACGAAGACGGCAAACTTGCCCATCAACGCCAGAACGAAAACCAGGAGGAAACTTCATGTAAACCTCCTCAGCCAAATCACCATGAAGAAAAGCATTGTGAACATCCATCTGGTGAACTTCCCAATGCTTAGCAGCAGCCACAGCTAAGAATAACCGGACTGTAACCATTTTGGCGACGGGAGCAAACGTCTCGTGATAGTCAAGACCTTCCACCTGATTATTGCCCAAAATCACCAGACGCGCTTTATAGCGCTCAACGGAACCGTCAGACTTATGCTTGATCTTAAAGACCCACTTGCACCCAATCGCACGCTTCCCAGATGGAAGAGAAGCTACATCCCACGTGCCATTATTCTCCAAGGCACGAATCTCACCCTGCATAGCGGCTCGCCATCGAGGATCAGTCACGGCATCAGCAAAAGTGCGAGGCTCAACAGCAGAGGTGATAACAGCCAAAAAAGCTCGATGAGCTGGAGAGAATGAATCACAAGAAACATAATGTGCTATGGGATAAGGTGTACCAGAGGATGGAGACGACTGAGGAGAAACAATGAGGGGTTCACTCGAGCGCCGGACAGTGTCAACCACAAAGTCCTTCAGCCGAGTCGAAGGAACATTAGTCCGATGACCACGACCCAAGGGCTCCACTGGAAGAGTGGGAGGGGTAGTGGTAACGGAACCCCCTATCGTCAGACGTGTCCATATCAGTAGCAGAAGATCCAATATCAAGAGAAACATGAGGCAAAGGAACAACCGGAAGATCCTCATCATCATTCGGCGTAGAAGAAACGGGCACAACAAGAGGCGGTGGCAAAGAATCTGGCTCAGACGAGTCTGACTGGTATGGGAATTCAGCCTCAAGAAACTCTAAATCACGATAAACAAAGAAAGTCTGACGATCCAAATCATACAAACTCCACCCCTTTTTGCCAAAAGGATAACCAACAAATAGACAACGACGACTCCGAGCAGCAAACTTGTCACCATTACGATCTTGGTTGTGAGCATAAAAAAGGCAACTAAAAACCCGCAAATGAGATAAAGAAGGAGTCGAACCATAAAGAATCTCATATGGGGTTTTACCATGTAAAACCGAGGAAGGAGTCCGATTTATCAGATAGACCGCAGTCAAAACACAATGACCCCAAAAAGGAAGAGGCAAATGAGCCTGAAAACGCAAAGCACGAGCTACATTGAGAATATGTTGATGTTTGCGTTCTACACGCCCATTTTGCTGAGGGGTGCCTACACAAGAAGTCTCATGCACACTCCCTTGACGACGAAAATAAGATGCCAAACACATGAACTCACTTCAATTATCACTACGAACTACGCGCACCAATTTATCAAATTGTCGCTGAATCATAGAAAAAAAATTCAGCAACGTTGAAGCAACCTCCGTCTTATCATTCAATAAATAAACCCATGTGCCACGAGAACAATCATCCACAATAGTCAAAAAATATCGTGCACCACAGAAGGACGGAACACGATACGGA